AAAACATGAACTTAACATGAAATCTGCTACAGAATTTAGGAATACATATATTGATTCCATAAATCCTTCAGTCACATAATATTTTCTAGGAAAATCCTTGGCTTAAATAAATAAATTGTATTATTTAAAGTCTGGAATTTTCTCAGTCATTACACTATTACTATTGGGTGTGTTACTATTGGCTTACTACTATTCATTGGTATGTTACTATTGGGCTTGTTAAAAAAACTTCAAAATTTCTATTCTTATACATGCCCTTTTAAGTTTTTGATTTCTTCATCGTACTCCTTGAATTTTACTTATCGATAGTAAATTTGTACTAAACTTCATCAAGCCATCTCAACCCTTAATTATTTATTCACATAAGGCCCTTTTTTCTTGAAACTAACCCCCGGGCTTCAGAATTGAAATTCAACTTCACCATTAAATCTCTAATATTCCTTAATGTATTCTCCATAATTTTGAATATCGATTGATATTTTTAATGATATTTTCCTCAAAATATTAATTAAGAGTAAAATCGTCTAAATAATATTCTAATAGTTATTCCAACTGTACTGTTTATAATGGCTAAGGACAAAATCGTCCAATCACTATTCCAACGATTTATAACGGCTAAGGGCAAAATTGTCCAGTCACTATTCTAACAGTCATAAACGGCTAGTTTTTACCTTATAAATAATTGAGTTTTTTAACCTTTATGTTCACCCACAAATTTCACTATTTAAAAATGTTCCTCAACCATCTTATTCTTCTTAATTTTTATAATGTTTCTTAATAGCTATTAACTTTGTTATGTTAGCTTTTTTCATCTTCTTATTTATAGTTGTAATTATGTTTCACTACGACGCTAGAGCATAGGATCGACATGTACGAAAACATCGAGTTGTACGGGAACATCAAGATTAGCTTTTGTATTGTACTTTATTATAATTTTCTCATTATAAAAGTGCTTTATTTATTGAAATATAAAGCGGGATGTTACATCTTTCTTGAGTTTTCTCAATACTTCTCTCACGGAGCTACCTGTGCGGGTTCACAGAGCAGTCTCGCTTTCTCTACCACAGCCTTATCCACCATATGAGTCACTTCTCTTCTCTAAAAATGCCTTATCCAACCCAAGTCACTTCTCCATCGACTACTAGATTACTCCTCCCACCGACTTCAGTTTACGTGATTCTCTTCTTGTTATTTGTGGACTTTTTAACATCTCTTGCAGGATACTTTTCTCATTTCGGCAACAAAGAGGGCCTAGAATCCATTTTCTTCGGCCTAATTCGGGCCTAGCCAACCCCATCATCTTCGTTGGAGATCTGTCTACCTCAAGAAGCACCAAGTGTTTCACCCACGTAGGAGCTTCACCAGCCAATCGGATACGTCCACGCGTACACCCTTGCCACACGGTGCCCACCTAATCAACCGGACCCCAACAATAGCTTTGTAATTCAACTTATTAGTAGCCATAGATTTGGTCTTTAAAAAAAAAGGTAGCTTTGCAATTTCGATAAAAAAAAATAGCCACCTTTTCAACAATGCGGAAAAGCTAGGGAATTGGAATAAAGAGTTGTGAAATTTGTATTTTGTTTTTCCTCATATTACTAAAGTAAAAATTTTTGGCTATCGTGGGAGTTTATCAATCCAGCCATCTTGATCAATGAAGGATGATCTTGAATACTCCTGTAGAATCTGCTGAATATCGCCAGGCTTCTTTTCCCATGCAACACGCTCGGAAATGTTCGATCCTGCTCCTTTAAACTCATCTCTGCATAAGTAAGCGTCGACCTGAAAGGTAGATTTCCATTCGTATCCAGTCAGTATACAAAAAATTAGATGGAACACCAAAAAAAAAATTATGAAGATTCAAAAATATGCACATGGTGACTAACGATATGTTTTTATTTCCTATATCTTAGGGCAAGCATAATTACAAGCAATGTTAATGCATAAAGTGTTCAACACCACATACAAATAGAAATACTCAACACCACATACTAATAGAAATACTCATAGTATGAGTATGAAAACTACTTTTATTAGTTCCAAGTAAAAAGCCTTATTCCTATAAGCAAGAGTAATGCTAAGAGACACTTTACACGACATCATACATTAAATAAAAATATATCTCATATAATAGGATATAAATGTATAACCCAGTTGTGGTCTTATATTATAAATACGAAAAGATATTAATAGACATTGTATTCAACACCATCCAGTAATAGAAAATAAATTCCATAGCATATAATATTCGTACATAAGGTTCATTTTTTTATTAGTTATGGTGTTTGGCGGTTTTCCCGAGCAATTTTCTATAATTATTAATTTTGTTTTGGTCAAATTAAGTAGTACTTACTCATGACCTTTGTAAGACCACGCATCCCATCCTTGAGGGGCAACAACTTGACCTAAATCGGTGCCATGGAATATTACTCTTGAATAAGCTCCATAAGCTCTCCCCAACAAAACTCGGCCACTCCCAGAAACTGAGCCTCCTTCGAATACGAAACCCACCAGGATCATTGGCTGATGCTCGTCCCTGTGCTGTACTGAATCCTACGGCAATCTCCGTAGGTAGTCGTGTCCTAACCGTCACATTTATCAATGAGTTCTGCGTATACAATATGATATCATGGTCACATTATAATATATTCTGAATAATATTGTAACAACACTGATCTTGTATAACTCAAATCCATGAAATAAATTTGAACAAGTAGTACATTATTTAATTTAGTAAGACTAAGAACACCAGCTCAAATTCTAATTTTTTTACCAACTTACATATAATGAATTATAACGTGACAATTTTTTAAACATTTACTTGTTGGGATATATGCCCATAAATCAAATAAGATGTAAATATTTTACTGATTATCAATAAAATGAGGAATTTTTCAATATTATTTTGCATACATGTGCTGTTTTATAAATATCAAAATCTCTAGATTATTTTTTGATGTAACTTTAAACATTGTATATAATTGTTATATACAGAGGATAATGTTTGAAATAAAATAATCTAAACTTGTCCGTAATTATAAATTAAAGTTGGGATCTTTAATTTAAAATTACTAATGCG